CTTTTTTGAGATCAATGAATATTCCACAAGATAGCAATTGTTTCTTGTAATTTATTAATTAAAGCTTTCACCCAGGTTTGAACGATTAACCTCCAAATTCAGAGTCCACCTTCTTATCCACTTGTTCCCCAATAATTCTGTAGACCAAATACGTAGTTTTTCTCAATATCATTAATTTTTGCCCCAGGCCCAACATGGCCAAAATGTTAGTTGATGAAAAATTGGAGCATGCTCAGTTGTATCCCAATTGGACTTAGAATCAAAAGCATGGCGTTGTCTGACGATAAAGAACAACTTTATAAAAAAAAAGAAACTGGGACAACTTAAATGATAAAAAAGGGGGGGCAGTAAATTTACTGCTTTTATTGATGGTGAGCTTTACAAGAAGGCCAAGAAATGGCCTCAAAATTCAAAGGAAAATCATGAAGAATGTGGCTTATCAAAGCTGGAAGTTAAAGCAATCAAATAGTAAAAGTAGTGGACACTACAGAATGACAATATTCTGTCTAAACATATGAAGATTGTGATTCCAAGACGAGACTTAGACAAACTCTTTGTGGATGTGCACTCTGAAATGGCTCACGAAGGAAGAGATAAGACAAAAGAGTACCCAAAAAAACTTATGCTGAAATTGCCACAGCATGTCATACAGCTCTTTGTTGGACTATACCACCTACATAAGCAACAAGTCAGCCTGACACATCCAACAAAGAAAACAATAAAAAAATCCTATCCAGGCCTGTTAAAAAAAATCCACCCTTGCATCCTAAAGTACTGTTTCGTTAAGTTATTCTCTAAGTCAGTTGAAAGGAAAAATTGTGAAGATTGCAACCAAGTTTGAAAAAGTTTCAATACTGGTAGCTCAAGCAAGACCAGACAAATGCTCCAAACCCAACATGCAGTGGGACACTACAAAAGACATAACATTCACAAAAGCTTTAAACATGGCTCACAATCAATAATCATATTGAAAGTTACCGGGCAGATTTCCAGTTTAATGCATGTAACAGAACAACTGATACGGATAAAAGGATCATTATTTGGTATAAAGTCACCCTATTACAGGGCTCGAAAAAACCCCCGTCCGGTCGTCCGGGACAAGTAGATTTTGCCTTCGGGCAAGTAACTTTCTCTCCTTCCTTGCCCGACGGGCAAGGACCCAGCGGGCAAGCCGTTCGCCGACTAAATTTTTGATAACGATTTTGAGAAGAAAAGTTGAGCTTTAAGCGCAAGGGTAATCAAGTGTTTAGATGAAGCTTGACGAAAATTACAATTTATAGCGTTGTTTTGTTGATTGCGTGACATGCACTCACGGCTCAGAAGTGGTTGCCTTGCACGTGATCAAAATCTTCCCCGATCAAATTTCTTTCCAGGATAAAAATAGCCGCGTTGGGAACGAAAACGCTGTGATTATTTCTTAATTGTAGCAATTTCCCGCTAGAATGTTTCGGTTTCTCTGTACTAAACTTAAGCCAACAGCGATATATTGATTAAAACTGTAGAAATTGTGCGTGAAAACTAAGAAGTCGCATATTTCTACCGCGAAAACGAAGCTAGCCCTTTGATGCTTATTAATTAGTTTGAAAACTTGGGCAAGCAAAACTTAAGGTTTATTTGCCCAACGAGCAAGGTGTAATTCAAATATTTTTCGAGCCCTGCCTAACCCTAACCCTAAACTTAGCCCTAAAACTGTAACGCTGAGCCCCAAATGCAAACTAATTTTGTTGTATGGTAAGTCATCCCAACCCAAACTCAACTCATACCTCTTAAAAATAAAACTTAAGGAGGAAAATTTCACCCATTTAAAAAAAAAAAAATTAACTCAGTTAAAAAAATTTACCCCGTTAAAAACATAACTGACTAAAAGCAAAGATTACCTGCAAAATATATTTGTATAAATTCAATATCCGAATTCCCCGTCTAGTGGTGAGGGTGGTTTTCTCTTTCGAAACTTTTACTGATAAACAACTTGGCGGGGTAGATATTTGATTATTTTTGTCTTCTGTTTGTTGTAGACACGAGCGACGGAATGCAACAGCAACGATTGTCAAATCGAGGAAGTGCTAGACGAAATGCTCCAGAGGTTCGCTGGTTTTCCCAAGATCCAAGAAAAAATACGGGCCTTTAAGAAAAAGGAAAACGAAGACAGTTTCAAATTGGATAAAATAGATCTTACAGAAGTGAACAAAATTCTTACAGCCACAAAAAATTCCATTGAAAAATTTCGAAGTGGAGATCATGAGAAATTTTCAGAGGGCGTTCTTGACATTGTGAAAAGCCTTGCAACCCCGTTGGGCGCTAAACAGTGTGGAGCGTTTATTGAGATTTTGGTGACATGCTATGGCTTGTTATTTTTAGAAAGACAACCTAAGGAAAGTGTGGTAGAAAAACTAGCAAATATTGTTCACGATGCGTTTATTCACTTTAACAGAAAGTTAATGGATCAGAAGTACAAAGGGCTTGAGCGTCGCGTATCAGAACAGAATTCTCAGTTGCAGAAGATGAAAAAAGGAGAGAAATTAGATGATCCTAACCTGTGGAATGATTACGCGCAGTTTTTGGGTGAGCTTGCTGTAAGGTTAGAGTCGCCACTTTCCTTTAAGTATGAAAACAACCTGTCAGAAGATCCCGATGTGGAAGATTACGTAACTGCCGTGGTTAAGTACTCTGAAGCTCACTCTTGCTTCATGGCTCTTCTATTTGCTGCCAAAGCAAAATATACAGAATTAGGAATCGCTCACGAAGACGACATTGCCACTTTGGTACGGAAAATGTAATTTCAGGAACAGGATGCTAAAGAGAAACTCTCTTTTCTGTCAGAAAACAGATATTTGACTTTTCTTGGAAAAATCGAGGGCGGAAAAATCACAAAAATTGTTGCTTTAAGCCGAAGAATTCGTTTAGGTCGCCTGGTAGAAACCGTTCGACATAGCTTGGGTTTGTCGCCAATGCCGAAATCATCAACAGTCGAGTCCTCTGCGAAGAAAGTGGATCAACAGTCAGTGACTTTAAAGCCAGTAGAAGTAGAAAACTGCTCTTGGTTTTCGCTTAACCAGATCTCTAGATACCGCCTTTTCATTNACTGGATCTGAAAGATGAAAGTTTGAAAACTACTATTAAAAGAGGAGACTACCTGGAATGCAGGAAGTTTTTCTTGCAGGCAGCAGACGCAGGTAAAAATCACTGGGCTGCTTTTTGTTTTCGATAAGTTTTCATTCGACGTATTAGGATTACTACTACAACACATTCACACTAAATTTACTAGTGGCTAGAGGAGTGGAGTCTACATGAGCACTCGGAGTTCTTTTTTTCCCGAGTATGCCTGTGTTATTTACTGAATAGCATCTTTCACTCGACAAGCTTAAAATTTGTCATCTTCATTTATATCATTATTGTGCAAAAGTATCACATATCGTCAATCCTATCCAAGCAGTATGCAGGAGGTTTAATTTTAATTTAATTTTCACCATAGAGCTAGTTAAACGGAATAGTCTACCACGAGTCTCTGGTAGCTCCGTGGTAGAGCATCCTATAGTACTGCACAGAAGGTCGTAGATTAGACTCCTATGGGGAGCACTTGGAGCTCGTTTTTCCGAGTACACCGGGAATAAACTCATGAATTATTAGCCACATTACACTCACTTCACTGTAAGCTGGAAAAAAATGAGTGATTTATACAAGACTGCCAATCGTTAAGCGTTTCCGTTATCACAATCATTGTCATCATTATCACCTTTACTCTTGTCGTCTTCGTTGTCGACGTCACTGCTACTTATGTAGCATGATATAATTTGGATATATCAACAAAGTTGAAATGGTAAATGAGCCACCGTAATGATTACAAAAGCTGACGTTTCGAGCGTTAGCCCTTCGTAGTTTGCTCCGACGAAGGGCTAACACCCGAAACATCAGCTTTTGTAATCATTATGGTGGCTAATTTACCATTTCAACTTTGTTGATATATCCAAATTAATTCTACTTAAGAACTGCAGAGAGAGAACAGTATGGAGAAAATGCCTACTGATGAAAATGCAAAATGATGTTTGGTTGCAAAGGTTAACTTTGACCATTAAAATAAAATAGTGAACATGTTACGGCTTGCCACATGACTGCCAAGCACAGGTTGCCAGATTGGCAACATCTACTGAAAATTTGTCTCAAAATTTTTCCTTACCATCAAAGCATTGTAAAGTTTGGAACAACCATTAACAGTGACTAATATCCCATAGGACTTTGCAAAACCTACCTCAAAGTTACTCTTGATGCGAACAGGTGTAACACTCTTGGGTATGACAGACAAACCACGCTGTATCTGAAAGCGGATACAGACCTGTGCAGGAGACTTGCCATATTTATTGGCGATTTCTACCATCTTGGGGTCATCTAAGAGGTAAGGGTCTCCAGGTTTTGCCCATGGACGATCAGGTGATCCAAGAGGGCTGTATGCTGTTACTGTGGCAAAAGAATAAAATGTAAACAGATAATTTCACATCCTGTGGGAGATGAAGTGGACTTCAAGTTGGGAGGTCCATGTTCAGGACCTAGAAGTAACTCCCAGAAGTGATTAACATGTAACTTCTCCTATAATAACAAAACATTATCCAGCAAATAGGTAATGAGAATACTCAAAATTATCAGGTAGAATTGTTTTCTTGATCTAACACCAAATTCCTGCAACTAATTTACAAGGAAATGTGTAACAGCAGGAGGAGAGAATTGACAATCAGATCTTGGGAGTTAAACAGTTAAAAAAGAAACTTACCAACCACGTCCCTTACCCTGCAATGAGCTAAAAGCTCAGCTTGATTAAGGTAAGGATGACACTCCACTTGTAATGCTGCAGGCTTAATGCTACTCTTCTCTATAATTTCATCAACTTGTTTACTGTTGAAATTTGATAATCCTATAAAAAAAAAGAAAAATTTTAACCACATAATGGCCAGTTTTACCGTCAACCATTAGAATGCATGCCATAGTATTGAAAAGACCTGCCAAATACAAAGTGATACAAAAAATTATAATTCTTGAAACAACTAGAGTCTTAAGAAAAATGTTTGAGCAGTGAAGGACAGACCAATAGCTCACACTTTGGGTTACCTGGTTCCTAAAGAGAGCTTTTAGGCCCAAAGATCCAACATCTAGATTTAGTACTTAATAAATATTGTAACATGCATCTCAGGTTTGCATTCACTTTTTTTTGGTGATGGCCTGAGATTTTTCTCTCCAGTTCACCCTTCTTCTGCCAAGTATAAGGTTAGTAAAGCATTCTCCCAATTGCTCCAGTGAGATAGAGCTTAAGGTGGAAGCTAGTGATGTCTCGAGAAGATGTTTCACCCTTCTTCTACCGAGTAGAAGGTTAGTAAAGCATTCCCCCAATTGCTCCAGTGAGATAGAGCTTAAGGTGGAAGCCAGTGATGTCTCAAGAAGATGTTTTCGTCGCCATGATTTAAAATAAATTCTTCACACAATCTTTTCTGTACTTTGCTCTGAATTAAGCTCAGAGCATTTGTAACGAGTAGCCCTCCATTTTAAATTTTCTTTATTCTTATCAACTTTCTGCTAAAGATTGTATCAAAATTGCAGGAGAAATTCCTGTTTGGTCAATCCTAGAGGCAACAAGGTGGAGTTAGAATTAAACAAATGAATTAATGTCCAAGAGAAATCCACCAGGCTCAGAATTTTGCCCAACTTACAGTCTGTTGGTCAGCATTTCCTTTCAAATTGTAAAATGCTCAAATCAGTCTGGCAAAATTCCCCTAAAAAGCATTTTACAGCACATCAATGCAAATCAGCATGAAAAATGTACCAGATAAATGCCTTAGCATCATCAATTAAGAAAATGATCATTACCAATAGCCTTGACAAAGCCTTCATCCACGAGGGGCTCCATAGCTTTCCAGGTATCACATGGATGGTGGTATGCGTAGATTACACTTCCATCAGCTTCCTTAGGGAAAGGGTTATCACCATCTTGAAAAGATAATGGCCAGTGGATAAGGTAAAGGTCAAGATAGTCAAGTTGAAGGTCACTCAGGGTACTCATCAGAGCAGTACGCACATCAGCAGGGTTGTGTTTTGTGTTCCATAGTTTTGACGTGATAAAAAGATCCTCTCTTTTTACCTGCCGATGGAAAATAGGGCATGGCTCTAGGATAATTATTTTTTTAATTATGATTTACCAGAGTATAGCTCTCCTAAATCCTAAGGTCCAGAGACACACAGGTAAGGGAAATCCTGAATGTAGGATTAATATAGAATTTGAAAAAAGGACAGAGATCACAATCAAGCCAAATGGCCCATCCAGCCAGAGTGTATCCCAGTTTCTGCTGAGTGAAGGGACTAGGAGAATTACAATCCAACCCCCTGTATGGGATCCTGCTCTATTGCACCACCCCCCTCTTCCACCATTTCATCAGGTTTCCCTAATGTTTTGACACTACCCAATAGACACTTTGTGCAGAGGGGCCAGTAACTATTAATGGTCCTGGGTAGAGAGGGACCATTACCCATTTATACTCCATGGCAGGGAGGGTCCAATACCTAATTATATTCCTGGGTGGGGAGAGGCAATATGTCTTGTCCAAGAACACAACACAATGACACAGCCAGGTCTGAAACCCAGACCATTTGACCCACACAACCACAGAATCTCCATCACTTCCTATACAGAAGAAGGGCCTTTAAATGTGCACAAATCCAAAGATCTGTGCATATTTTCAGCCTAATCCAGCACACATTCTTTCTTTCAAATCTGGATTGGTGCTTCTTAGGAATTTTCCTTGTAACATGAACTTAGCAAGGATATTTTCTTCACCACCACATGCTTCATAAAGCATGCAGCTCTTTGCTAAAAGGCATTACTAGGTGCTTTTTATTAGAATAGTACAAGGTTGTGGAGGAATCTTTCCTTCTTTTCTTCTGGTGTAATAAAATTTGATGCAAAATTTACAGTAACTATGTTTACCGGTGCCCGTGACTCTACAGTTACAAACTGTATTGCTTAATCGTCAGGGCTAGAAGACTCAGAGAGCTCCTCAAATCTTTCTGTTTACGCCAAAATCTGAATAGCTTAGTCGACAGTATACCGTCACGACAACCAAAATTGCAGAGTTTTTAGGGCCAAACATGCCGACACCAAATTTAAATAGGACCTCACCCATGAACGATACTTATAATATTCACTTCTCAAATCACCGGTGGTTAACTGCTCGTTTGAGATTAAACTTCCTTACCGTTGTTCCAATGCAAGCTTTTAGTGCCTCTCCTACTTCCTTTTCATTGCCATAAACTGCTGCACAATCAATATGTCTGTAGCCAGCCTCGATGGCCACTTTCACTGCATTGGCGACCTCGCCCGGTTTACTTTTCCATGTTCCGAGGCCCAGTGCTGGAATTGATCTGCCATTGTTCAACTTAATCGATTGCATTGTTATTCAACGTCGGTAATAGATAGATTTGTATTTGCAAATGCCTTAACACAGCAAGCGCATCGACGACACGTACTCAACCAGTTCTTTAAAATAATTTTCTGAGCGCATTAGTCGACGCAAAAGCGTGGTCGCACAGCTCAAACCCATGTACAACCATATATATCGGTTGATCGGGGTCGCGATGAACTGAGTCCAAAAGAGTGGTAGGTGTCGTGATATTGCGTTACACGGTCACGCCACTGGGCCGATGAACATCTTTATAGTAGT